AGGGGAGCAGGGTGTCCGGGGGAAGGAAGTGCTGATGCCCAGGGGAGAGGGGTGCCCAGGAGGCGGCCGGCGGGGTAAGGACACCAGGGTCAGAAAAGGTCAGAGAGGCAGGGCTCACTGCAAGGCCTTTGGTTCTCACAGCAACAGAGGACGCTGGGCAGAGGGACGTGAGCTGACAAGCTGCAAGGGGCTCTCCTCCCGCTGTGCGGGGAACAAAGCAGGGCAAGGGCAGAGGAAAAGAGCCTTCAGAACTAGCCTGGCTGTAGCGCAGGCCACGGTCGAGCAGCTGGGCCCCACGTGGGACCCCACATGAAGCCTGAAGGTCGGACGACAGGTTCCACGGGAAAAGAAAACAAAAGGAGTCATCAAGGGTGAATCTAAGGTTTTGGGCCCAAAAAGCATGGAAGAAGGGGTTTGCCGGCCCAACACAGGGGGACTGGTGTGGACAGGGCAGGCGCTCAGTTCTCCACGTTCAAGTTTGCGGTTCTTATTCAGTATGTCCCAGGAGGAGCACACCCCCCAGGATCTGTGACTGCGACCTTGTGTGATGGTGATCCTGCTGAGGGAGGGCCCCACTGGACGAGGGGGGGTTCCTAAGCCGATGCCTGGCAGCTCCCTAAGAGGGAAGACAGCCACGCAAAGACAGGCGAAGATGGGAGTTACGCTGCCACAGCAAGGAGCAGCAAGGGCTCCTGGCAGCCACCAGAAGCTGCCGGAGGCCGAGAAGGACCCCCTAACGCCTACAGAGCGTGGCCCTAGGTGTCGTGGGCCTTCGGGCCTCCAAAAGAGCCGCAGAACGAATTCCTGCTTCGTGGCCAGCGCTACTTTGCTAAGGAGACCCCAACACCCAATGCCTGAGTCTACTTCTCAACGCTCGTCAGGAAGGCTGGATGTGTGACAATAAAACAGAAAAAAGATCCACATGGGATCTGGGGCACCTGGTGGCTCCAGCAGCTGAGTGTCTACCCCGTGATCTCAGCTCGAGTCTTCGTCAGGCTGGGTGTGGAGCTTACTTTAAAAATAAAAATAAAATAAAATTTAAAAATACAAAAAAAAAAAAAATCTGGGTTCTTTTTCTGACTCTCATTTTTCTGGTTGTAAGAACCGAGGCAAATCATTCTGCCTCTGATTCAATTTCCTGCAAGATGGGAAAACCGGGGGCCGAAAAGAACCCCATCCAAGGTTCTACAGCCCGTAAATTTCTGCAGCTCTGGGACTATTCCCAAATACGAAAAAGAACGCCTGAGCCCTCTCGCAATCACCTTCTGAAACCTCATGTCACAGAGAGGCCGGTTCTACGAAGTCCACCAGCACGACGGACGCGCCAGCCTCAAGTGTGGTGAGACAAACGAGACGCTAATCCACAAAAGATGAGGCTAGCTGGAATTTTATGATGTTTCTAGATACAGCAACAACAGAACTCCCCTCAGTGACATACTGTATTCGTTTTCCTCCGATATCACCACAAACTCAATGGCTTAGAACAGCACTCACTTGGGGCGCCTGAGTGGCTGAGTCAGTGAATTCGGCTCAGGTCATGGCCTCAGGGTCCTGGGATCAAGTCCCACTTCAGGCTCCCTGCTCGGGGTGGGGAGTCTGCTTCTCCCTCTCCCTCTGCCCCACCCCCCTCGCCCCGACCCCACTCTTGCTCTCTCTCTCAAATAAATAAATAAAAACCTTAAAAAAATAAAAAACAGCAAAACACCTACGGATGACATCCCAGTTTGTGTGTGTCACAAGGGACAGGTGGTTCTCCGCTTAGAGTCTCACGGGACAGCGTCAAGGTAGGGCTACCTGGCAGGGTGCCACCCCAAATACACTCAGGTTTTTAAGAGAACTCAGGTCCCTGTGGCTGTAGGACAGAGGCTCCCCAGGGATCAGTCCTAGGTCCTAAGGGCCACCCCTGTTCCTCGGTTCCTGGCCTCCCGTGCATCTTCCACGCCAGCCACGGCAGGGGGAGTCGTCTTCCTGCTTTGAATTTCCCAAACCTCCCCTCCCGCCTCACTCCTCCTTCCTCTACAGTTTTGGGGGATTATTGGGTTGTACCCCAATAATCCAGGCTAATCTCCCGACCTGTAAGTCGGCTACTCGGTAACCTCCAAGCCACACCTCCAGAGTGCCCCCCCGCAGCGCTAGACTCGGGTCTGGCGGGTGGAGCAGGGGCAAGCAAGCCTACGGAGATGCTGGTGGGGTTCCGGCTTCCACAACTACCCGGAGACGTCACATTAACACAGAAAAACACATATGGTAAAACTTTGGAAGTCAAGTGTTACTTGCATTTCATTACTGCAAATGACCCGAGTGTTGAAATAACGGACGAGATTTTTGTAAATCCAGTAAAAGCAAAAATAATCTTTCCTAATGCAACTATCCTCAGCAAATACAAGTTCAACAGTGCAGAGACGGGGTCAGAGCAGAAGCCTGAACCTCACCCCCCGCACAGGCTCCACTGATCCCTTCCTATAGACCGGAGACAGTGATGCTTGTTGCAGCCCAGAACTGGGACTGAACGGACTAAAGCAAACCGAGAAACACCGACCAGCACGGCGAGAATGACAGGCGTCCCCGCGCGCACCGCCCCAGCCGGGCTGCCCACGAGGAGGCAGAGGCAGCAGCGTCCCACTCCCACCCAACCCTCTGTTCCCACTCTGTGCCCCGAGCACGCTCCCACAGCAGAGGACAGGGCCGCAGCAGTAAGGAAACCCGTATCCTAATGAGCCCACCTCTGCCCCCCGCTGGCCTGCTGCAGCCACACGCGGGCCCTCCCTGCGCAGGGCCAGCTGGTTAGGGCACTGGGCTCCCCACACATTCACCAGTTACTCTGGCTCACTTCCAACCTTCTGAAGGTGTCCTCCGGGTCATCACAGCAACAGCCTGGAGAACCGAGAGCCACCTAACGAATCCTCCCAGAGCAGCGGAGGCAGAGGTGAAGGCCACGCTGGGCCACGAGCTGCTAAGCAGCAGCAGGTGCACCCCCTGACGGTGGCCGTGGAGGCCCTGCTCTCCGCCCCAGGCGGGCCGCGGCCTGTGTCCAGCAGCAGCTGGGGACACGTTCCACACACCTGCTGGGGCCGTGACTTCTGCCAGCTCTTCCGCGGGAGCGCTCCGCTGGAAACAGGCAGCACACGGAATGTTCCCGCTTCTTGGTTCCGCTTTGCTCTCCCAGACATCAGACACTTCCCCGGCTCAGCAAGCGCCCAGGTCTCCGAGCACCCCCGGAAGAATGACACACCGCTCCCTCGGAACACAGCCCAAATCTGACCTGTCGCTGCCAGCACATCACAAGGTGCTTTTCCTCCAGCTGCAGCTTTGGGCTCAACCTATGGGCGCCCCGTCGGTTTCCCCACTTCCCCACGGGCTCCCCCGTGGCGTGGGTGCAGGGCTCCGCATGACAGGAGCCAGACGCAGACACAGACACTGACACGGACACAGACACTCACACAGACACTGACACACAGACACTGACACAGATGCAGACACTGGCACAGACGCAGACACTGACACTGACACAGACACTGACGCAGACGCAGACACTGACACAGGCACAGACACTGACAGTGACAGTGACACGGACACGGAAACTGACACAGACAGTGACACTGACATAGACACGGACACTGACACTGACACAGGCACAGACACTGACACAGACACTGACACTGACAAAGACACACGCAGATGCAGACACTGACACTGACACAGACACAGGCACTGACACGGACACAGGCACTGACACAGACACAGGCACTGACACAGACACAGACACGAGCAAACACGGACGCAGACACTGACAGACACAGACACTGACACGGACACTGACACAGACACACGCAGACGCAGACATGGATGCAGACACGGACACGGATGCAGACACTGACACTGACACAGACACACGTACATGCAGGCATGGACGCAGACACTGACACTGACACATGCAGACACGGACACATGCAGACACAGATAGACACGGACACAGACACTGACACAGACACATGCAGACACGGACACAAACACACAGACACTGACACACACACAGACACTGACACTGACGCAGACAGAGACACGGACGCAGACACAGACACAGGAAGATATGGACACAGACACAGACACAGACATGGGCACAGACACGGACACAGACACACGAAGACACAGACACACGCAGACATGGATACGCAAACACGGACAGAGACACGGACGCAGACACGGACACCCGCAGACACGGACGCGGATGCAGACACAGACACACGCAGAAACGGACACAGACACGGACATACGTAGACATGGACACACGCAGACACGGATGCAGACACGGACACATGCAGACAGGGACACAGACATGGACGCAGACGCGGACACACGCAGACACGGACGCAAACACGGACGCAGACACGGACACAGACACGGATACACGCAGACACGGACACACGCACACACGATGCAAACACGGACGCAGACACACGCAGACACGGACACACGCAGACACGGACGCAGACACGGAC